AGTCTACGGGTCAATGGATCCTCAAACGAGTATCTCGTTCGCTGACTCACTCACCAACGTCGATGTGACCCCCCCCCCCCCCCCCCGCCATACAAATGAACGACAAGAAGACCGAATCGCTGCTCAATCGATCATGAAATCATAGCAAACGCAATCATCGAAAGTGCCACGGACGGCAATGCAACATCGTCCATTTCCAGACTACCATCACTGCTCCGTCACCACGACCGACAATCACTCAAGCTGCACATTTCCATCGTTAACAAAAAAATAACGCGAATCGCATCACATCGTTTTTTTTTTTTTAAACCATGGCCACGCGGGTTTGACAACACGCAGAGGGGGGTGCTTACAAACAGCACGAAGGTACGACGTTCCTATCATGCTTTGCGTGCACGTTGCGTGACCACCGCGTTGCGTGTTCGACGCCCTCAGCCTTGTCTAAGCCGCCGGCTCGCCAGAACTGTGACGGCACACAACAGGACGTATCGGTACAGCACGGTCATCGACGTTCACCGCTGCCCCACGTGGCAACGGTCGCTTCGGAGCGGTCCGTCTTGTGCGTGGCTCGTGGGAAGGGGCGGCTGGGAATTGCGTGGCGACGGTCTGGGGAGGGTGAAAGATTGTGGGTGGGGGGGGGGGGGCAGTGTCGTCCGTAGGCTTGCTGGGAAGACCGGCACTGGCCCGAGAAGCCTTTTGTCCATCAGGCCTGAGTCACTTTGCTGCCGCAGCCAAGCTCCGGGATGTCGAGGCCCGAAAACAGGGTGACCTGCGACACGGGTGGGCATTGACACCACGTCGACACATGTCCACATACACGCGAAATGAACTAAACTTCACCACGCTGGTCAGTGTGGGTTCTATGCACAACCGCCATCCCTTCCCCTGTGGACTTTAAGCCGTGCACCTGTGACCAGCCCGATAAACTATGAAACTGTAAACTATTTTTTTATTTCGATTTAAAGCTTTCGTGACTGCAGGGATTCATCTTCTTGGTTCTTTCGGTAAAGTCACGTAGAATGGAAATAATAAAATAATAAAAATAAAACATAATAAAATTATTCTCACGACGTTTCGGCCACAACGCAAGCAGCCGTCCTCTTCATCTGAGGACGGCTGCTTGCGTTGTGGCCGAAACGTCGTGAGAATTATTTTATTATGTTTTATTTTTATCTTACCAGGTAAGGCCCACTGAGCTACGTAGCTCTCTTTCAGAAGTGACCTGGCTATCGCAAATGATAGCCCAACGAAGCGGCTTACCTTCACGTGGAAATGCATAGCAGCCAAATACTATGAACGCACGTTGATTCTAAACGTGGAGGGGGAAAAACCGGAGGATTCCGGAGAAAAAAAAAATATCCACGGGAAAGTGCGAGCACCGACCTGCACGCCACGGTTAAGGCTCAGCGCCGGGTAGAACGGCCCCTCGGCTGAGCCCAGGGACAGGGATCCAACTTGTTCCCTCTCCAGGAAGAAGGACAGCGTCCGGCCCTCCAGGTCGAGCAGCAGTCCCACATGGCTGCCCTTCCCGATGCCGCCTTCCAGTCCTGCCGCACGGAGAGCGACAAACGGCACACGCCGCCCCGCAGTGAGATCTTGTCAAATGTTGTCGTCCTTCCCACCAAGCTCCGATTAGCAAGGCTGGTGATGTACAGTGCAAAACAAGTTCTATATACACACGTGCATAGACTCACAGAGAGACCCAAAGTTTGTTGTCCTTCCCCCGCAGCTCTGATTAGCAAGGTTGGATACGTACAGCGCGAAAGAAGTTCAACATACATATGTAGTGAAATATAATCGGTGACGTAGCAGCATAGCGCTGGCTGCTGGCGGGGAAGGGGATCTGCAGCTTACAGCGGTCCTGACTGATAGCAGGTCACGTGATAGACCAGAGAGGAATCTAGGGGAAGGGCCACAGAAGGGGCAGATCGAGAACCCGCTAGGACAGGGGTCGGCAACCTACGGCTCCGGAGCCGCATGCGGCTCTTTACGGGCTGCTTCTTGACGATATGTACAGTATGTACTCAGATGCATTGCGGCTCTTGAAATACTGAATTTTGTACCGAATTGGAAAGAAATGGCTCTTCTTGTTATTTTGGTTGCCGACCCCTGCGCTAGGAGGTTACAGAAGGGGGGCGTGGTCGGGGCAGAGCCAGGCCACGCTGGCAGTATAAGAGGGGCCACAGGAGGGGAGCTCAGGGCTGTCGTGTGGAGTGGGGTCCCGTCGTGCTGCTGCTGCTGCTGCTGGAGTCTTCGCCATCTCGGCGTCGCCAGTCAGGCAGTCTTACAGCTGCCCTGACTGGGAACCGTAGTTACTAAGTGTTCACTGTCAGGCCGGGTCAATAAACACAGTGCCTTAGCGTCTCCGAGTCAGTCACTACACATCCCTAAAATACTGATAATAATAAAACATTGGTTGACATTTGCAATGCACGTTTCATCCACAGATGCCAACGCACTCCGGAAATTCCTTGTTTGACGCGCGGTAGGATGTGTTCCTGAAGAGTTCCTTGGTCCTGCCCGTGACCTCACCTGCCAATCCTCACCTGGACGCACACCCCACCCACCCGTGCACCTCACCTGCGCGTGTGTGTGTTGTTGTGGAGTATCCAGCTGCGGTTGCTGTCCACGTACATGGCCCAGCCGTGGGGGTCTCGGCCCAGCATGGCGTCCATCCGCACGGCGCGCCGGGCCACGCCGAACGCCGGGTCCGGCCGGCCCTCGTAGCGGTCCAGCCGCACCTGGCGAGGAGCAGGCGTGGGCCGGGTGTCATCGGCGAGGCCTGCACCGCTATCCGGGAGGTTCTGCCCGGCCGGAGCATCGCGATTCGATGCTTCCGTCTCCTCTCTCTCTCTCCGGCCGGGTTTTCTGGTTCCGAGGTTATTTTACTTAAACCAGGCGGGAAACTTGAAGGGGTCCAGGATGAGTCACATTTTGAAAGAGCGACTCGTGCGTCGCCACGACGATGGAAGCAGTTAAAAAAAAAATAAACGATGAAGTAAAGAGCAAACAGCAAGCGAGACAAAAAAAAACACGCATGGTGATTCGATGAACTGTCACGACGCGCGGTCGAGATTCGATTCAGGAATTGATTATGAATCGTCTCACATATATTTTTGTCTTCTCATCCGCAGAGAAGCAATGAACTGTAATGGAGCGTTGCCTTCGTAGTGATCGGTAGCTAGGGGCACCAATTGACAGGCGGCATTAACAATATATTTTTAAATAATCGTACCGCTATTGACGTATTGAAAGACGTTTGTCTTGTTGATACGATTCGGAGTCACCGGCATACCCACCCGTTGAATAACGGTGAGCTGTTGTGTGTGCGGTGGTGCTGCAACGGTGCCAACATACTTCTGATGCTACCGATAAGAGCGTTACGGTATTGGTTGGTTAATATCGACGTTAGAGATTAAGGCAATGATGACAGAGAGTGACGGTATTTGTAGAAGCAGTAGATAGGCCATGGATGATGATGATCATGATTAATTGGTCGGTGTTAATATTAACGCATACCCCCCCACCCCCCGCCAGCGGAGAGATCGTGACTAACGACGACGATGATGATGACGACGATGATCCATTGGTTGATGTTAATTTCAATGTTGACGATGTCGGAAGAGATGGCACGTGATTGGGACACCTTGAGTAAGCCTTCATCCAGCATTGGATCGGCAATGGCTTTCGACGACAATGACGACAATGACGACGACAACGACGATCGTTCGTGATGATGATGATGATGATGACGAACTGTCCGATGATCGTGATGCCGCACCTCCCAGTAGTGGACGCCACGGGAGAACCCAGCGGTGCCGATCACCACGCGGTCCTCGCAGCTCCGGCACGTGGCCACGCGGCCCTCGCTCGACACCGCCACGTCCTCGTGCGCCGCAGTCGGGTCCCACGCGAACCACGCCACTGCACCGCACCGCACGGCACGCCTCCTCTAACCCCTTTCTCCACTGGCACATCCAAGCCATGCAAGTAACGGATTCTTTTCTTTGCTGTCTTTTCCCACTGGCTATTTGCCGTGCCAAGCCGAGGACCGAGAGGAGGCAGGGACGCCGGGAACGGACCGCCCGCAATGGCGAGTTGTTTATTCCCTCGCTTGGTATGCAGGAGGTCGTGGGTTCGATCCTGACCCTTGACGCCTGTTGCATTTTCAGTGTTTGCGGTGTCTCTCTCTCTCATCATGATCACGGTGGCTAGGAGATGTTAACTACCTCGCCTGGTATACAAGAGATCGTGGGTTCGATCCTGACTCTGTCGCTAGCTGTATATCTGGAGTCTGCATCTCTCTCATCATGATCACGGTGGTTAGGAGATGTTAACTACCTCGCCTGGTGTACAGGAGGTCGTGGGTTCGAGCCCAACCCTAACGCCTGCTGTATATTCAGAGTTTGTGTGTCTCTTTCTCATCATGATCACGGTGGCTAGGAGATGTGAACTCCCTCGCCTGGTATAGAGGAGGTCGTGGGTTCGAGCCCGACCCTGACGCCTGCTGTATATTCAAGTTTGCATGTTCTCTCTCTCTCCCCGTGGTCGCAGTGGACTTTTCTCCGTTTTTTCCCTCCACATTTAGAATCAACGTCGCTGCGTTCAGAGTATTTTACTGCTGCTATAAATTCCCACATCATGATAAGCCAAATAGCAGGTCATACTCACCCTTCCTCTACCCACACGTCGCCTGCTCTAGCAGAACCCATTTGAACTTTTCCCTCAATCTTCAGACAGCATCGCAATGATTTGCCACCCACGGTAATTAAAGTGTCTCTCTCCCCGTGGTCATGTGGATTTTTCTCCGGGTTCTTCCGTTTTTTCCCCTCCACGTTTAGAATATTTGGCTGCTGCTGCTACACATTTCCACGTGACGATAAGCCACCGTGTTGAGCCATCATTTGTGCTTGGCCGGTTCTCTCCTGAAAAAAAGCTACGCATGGCAGCTCAAGTGGGCCCTTACCCAGGTAAAATAAAAAAAAAATTTGTTTCGCAGGTTACAATAGTTTCACCGCCGGCTCACCGGGCGAAGTCTGCAGCAGCACGGTCTTGCTGTAGGGCCCGACGCCCGCGTGGTTGTAGGCCTTGACACGCGCGCGGTACGTGCTGCTGAAGTGCAGCCCATCGAGCGTGCACATGACCTCCGTGCCCTCGTACACCTCCTGCGCGCGGGCACGCACGGACACGGCACGTTCATGCGTAAGCACTCGCGAGCACAGGTAAGGCTGCCCCTTCCGCCGCGTAGCCTTTAACGGACCGTCGGGGCAAGTGCGGCGAGCGGGCAGCACGTACGAAGGCCGGCGCGGCGCACGAAGGGGGTGGGTGGCCAGCACGTCCACACTGCCTCTCTCTCCCGAGTGGTGATGTGTTACACACCGCACCGGGTACTCATTTTAGGCTGAGTCGACTTAGGGGAGGTCCAGGACCGATTAAAGCGGGGGGGGGGGGGGGGTCGACAACCTGCTGCCTCGTGGCCGTTATTTATCAAGGACCGCCGTCTAGAATTCACGGTGCACTGCGGCTCTCGAAACATTGTTTTTTTTTACTGAACTCGAAATAAATGGCTCTTCTTGTCACGCATTTTGCCGAGCCATTTGTGGTTGAGATGATCGCCAGTGCTGTCGGTGACCCGCGAGCGGGAATCGATGTCGGCTCTTTTGCCGGGCCACCGCTGCACCCGTGCCTGCGCGTAAACCACGCGGATCTTTGACCCGCGCGGGCCGAAGATCCGCGTGGTTTACGCGCCGCGGGAGCCCCCCCCCCCCCCTCGGCGACCCCCTCCACTGACCCGGAAGGCCCCTCCGCTGCCGTCGTCGAGCTCCAGGATGAAGCCGTCGACGCGGACGGGCGTGCGCGGCGCCGGCGCCCAGCACAGTGTCGCGGCGTTGCCCTCCGTGCAGCACTCGGAGGACAGCTCCAGCGCGGGGGCCGGCGGCGCTGCGCAAAAAGGCAAAGGTTCCCCACCCATAAAAAATCAGTGTTGTGTTATTGTTATGTTCAAATATATTTTTATCACTATAACTCCAACGCGAGCCCCGGTACAAGACGCCGATCGCAGAAACGGGGGGCGCGGGGGGGGAGCAGGGGGGGAACAGAAACTCCGCAAACAGCGGCCCGGAATTTCGGCGCGACGGCTACCCAATGAAGGGGGTCAATTGGGCCAGCTGCCCCACCCACGTGGGGGCCACGTGCGAGCGGGAGGGGGGGGGGCATGAAGGTTTATATGGGGAGGGGAAAGGAGCTTGAAGGGGAAGGTAACCAACAGGGGGGGGGGAAGAAAGGGGCAAGTGCTGCTATGTAATTCCGACTACATTGACCCAAAGTTTTGCTCGGACACATTACTTTTAAAATCCACTCGCGATAATTGATTTCCACGCATGACGCAATTGTTTTTGATGCCGATCTCTGTTTTGCCTCATTGCCAGCGCGTCACCCTTACCCGCTATGCTGTTGTCATTTCGGTGACGCGGTGAATGCGCACCAGCGAGACTTTTCTTGAGCGTTCGCGCACTCTCTCTCTCTCTCTCGCCCGGGCCAACGAAACCGACTCGAGAGCTTTTGGAACGCCGATGGACGTCCGCGGCACGGCACGGGGGCACGGCGGCACGGTGGCGCGGCAAACCGTCACCTTTCATCTGCACGAAGTCGAGCTGGTGGATGGCCGCGTGCAGGGGCTCCATGTCGAGGTCCAGGCCGAGCTCGGCCGGCGGCCGCGACTGCTCGCAGACGCGGGCCCACTCGTCGCCGCTCGACGCCACGCGCACGATCAGCCCCTCCGAGATCTGCGCGGCGGCGGCGGCGGTCGCGGCAGCAGCGGGGGCAGCAGCAGAAGCAAACGCAAAAATGAAGACAAAGATCCACGGTGTAGCCTTAACAGACTGTTGGGGCAAGTGCTGTTAGCGAGCAGCACCTGTGGAGGCCCGGCACGGCACGCGAAGGGGTGGGGTGGCCGCACGGTGGTGGTTTGCGCAACCGGGTGGCAACGCTTGCTCAACTCGAGCACAGTAAACATGGAAGGTCGGGCCAACGTTGGTCCAAAGGCTCCAACCATATTCCAACGTTGGCTCAACATTGGCCCAACATTGGTCCAATGGCTCCAACCACATGCCAACGTTGGCTCAACATTGGCCCACCACTGGTCCCACGTCTCCAACCACATGCCAACGTTGGCTCAACATTGGCCCACCACTGGTCCCACTGCTCCAACCACATGCCAGCGTTGGCTCAACGTTGACTGGGTGGAGATGACGCTGCCGCTGCTGTGCGGGCACCTGCAAGAAGCCGCTGGGGTCGGCCTCGTGCATCACCTCCCGGCAGAACTCGAGCAGCCCCACGGTCTTGTGGAGCCTCGCGTCGTAGCGCACCACCTCGTCGTGCACCGCCTACAAAGACAAAGATCACCCGTGTAGCCTCAACAGACCGTTGGGGCAAGTGGCGTGAGCGAGCGGCGCCCGTGAAGGCAGGGGCTGTGGCACACGAGGGGTGGGTGGCCAACACCTCGCCCGGCCGCCTTTGTCTCCCCGGTGGAGATATTGTTACACACGGAACAAGGTCCCCATTTTGGGGCTGAGACGACCTAGGAGAGGCCCATGACTGGTTCGAATAATTGTCACTGGGGTTGGGAATCGAACTCGGGTCGCCAGGTTAGTAGCGCAGTACCCTAACCGCTACCACCACCACCACCACCACAACAACATCATCATCAACATATTCTTAGGTTTTTTCTGTAAAGTCACGATTGCTGTATCAAGTGAGATACAGCAATCGTGCTGTGACGGTTCCACCTGAAGACGGAAGCTTGTGTTGCCTCCGAAATGTCGTGGTTTTTATTTGATTTTTATTTTACTTTTATTTTTTGCCTACGTGACTTTACCGAAAAAACCTAAGAATATGAATCCTTGCAGTCACGAAAGCTTCAAATCTAGAATCATCATGAACGTCGTCATCATCACTAATACAACTCGCACCATCACCACAGTCGTTACCGCCTACACAAGATCAATATTCTGGTCATCGTTAGCATCATCACCATCAACACTACCAGCATCATCACCACCATTATCACTACCACCAGCTGCATCACCATAATCACGTCTGCCAACATCTGGTTGGTGCTGAGGTCAGGGTCTAGGCGAGGCCGAGTCGTTGGTCTCAGCGACGAGTCACGGGTCGAGTTCGTACGCAACGCGGCTCCCTGTGTGCCACCTGAAGCTGGTGGTCCCTCTCCTGTGCCACCCGCGCCAGCAGCTGTGTCTTGCGGTGTTGCAGCGCGTCCATCAGCGCGTCCACTTGCGCCACCAGGCAAGCCTCCAGCTCCACGCTGTTCTCCTGCACACGGTCACGGCGCCGCGTCAAGTTAAGGTTGTTGCTGTTGTTGTTACTGTACTGTCGTTATTGTTGTCGTTGTCAACCGGTGACTTCTCAAAGGCCTCTCCCCCATTTGCTTCCATTCCTTCCAGAATTAGAGAGACCCACAGAATCACACAGACACCCATAGACTGACACAGAGACCCATAGCCTCCAGAGATAACCTTAGACTCACACAGACACCCACAGACTCACACAAAGAGTCATCGATTGGCATAGAGATCCACAGAATCAGACAGAGACCCACGGACTCGTACAGAGACCCATAGACTGACACAGAGACCCACAGAATCATACAGAGACCCACAGGCTTACACGGAGATCTATAGACTCAGAAACCCACAGACTCACAAGATACCCTTAGATTCACACTGAGACCCATCAACTCACACAGACACCCAGATTGACTCATATCGTTGTCAGCTGGTAACTTCCTACTCCTATACAAAGACCTCTCCAATTTTCTTCCATTCCTTTCTATTCCCCAGCCTCTCCTGTCCAGTTGTGTCCTCCAATCTCCGTGAGGCCGTCTCGCATTCCTTCACCCACCTCTTTGACGACATTAAGGTACTTTTTTGTTTTCGTTTAGTCCTTCTCAATGTTTTGGCAATCGTGTGTGGAGGCGAAGAGCCGATTTGAGGACCTCTCGCAAAGCAGGAGCTTCACTCCCACGTGTTAGAAAACGGCCCGTGGAAGAGGATATCACAGAACCGCTGCTAAGGATAAGGGATTTTGCCTTTAGGAAGCACTTATGTGCGAAAAGTATCCGAAAGCGATTTAACAGCACGTGTGAACAACAACAAAAAATACACTCATGGTATCATCCTGGTCTGGAATGTATGTACGTTGAACTTCTTTCACACCGTACGTAGCCAACCGTGCTAATCGGAGGTGCGGGAGGGGAAGGACAACAAACTAAAAACAAAAAGCAGTTCTAAAGAAATGAGTTTGTTAATCGAGATGATTTAAGCAGTGCATAGCTCCAGTGGATTCCGACTATCGGAAGGAAGAGCGTTCCAGACGGCCGCAGAAGCGTATCTTCATTGGCCAGCCAAAGCCGATGCTGCGAGGTTGACCGGAGTTCTCGTTGGTGGTTTCCGCTCCTTGACGAGATCAGCGATGACTGCGCACGTAAAATCCCATCGCATTCAATTCGGTTCGGAACACATAATTTGTCTAAACTCCAGCTGTGAGAATATCAAACATCAGTTTGAGCGTCACCCTATGAACATGACTCTGCAGCGAAGCGCGTGGGCTGTGCTGCCGCCTGCCGCGAACCCATCAAGGGATCTTAGGAGTGGCTCTGCAATACCTGCTTCTGCGGGCTGTTCTCTGAAGAAGAGAAAGGGCCTCACTTCCCGTGCGAGAGATCTGCGGGGACTCGACGCCTGGTATATTTTGCAGTTTTTTTCGTGGATTTTTCTGTTTGCGCAGAGTCACTTTAAGATGTTTTCTTGTTTTTAGTTTTTAGTTTTGTTGCGGTTGCACCCGATTCAAGAGCCGAATGGCTCACAGGGCTATACCAAGTAAATGAAACTGAAAACTGAATGAGGCTGACACCGAGAGCGCAACTGGCAACCAGCTGATTAAGGCGCAGCCCTGCAACTGCTCGCTCACACCTCTGCTGGCAGAAGGGCCTCCCCGCTCGAGGGAGCTATTTGTAAACTATTTTATATTTTACCAAGTAAGGCCCCCACTGAGCTGTATAGCTATTTTTAGCAGCGAACCGGTCACACACGATAGCTCAACGAAGTGGCTTATCGCGCGGACATTTACAGCAGCCAAACACTCTGAACGCGTGACGTCGTTTCTAAACGTGGAAAAACCAGAGGACCCGGAGGAAAATCCATGCGACTACGGGAGAGAGAGACACGCAAACTCCAAATACACAGCAGCAGCACAGGCGTCATAGTCGGGATCGAGCCCACGACCTCCTGCGTACCAGGCGAGGTAGTTAACATCTCGCCACACCACGGCGACCCACTTCTTCCGCGGTGGCCAAACGCCTCGAACGAGACGGGAATGCCCACACTTCACCCCACCGCACGCCACGTGCCAATCGCACAATGGTGACGCATCCCTATTATTACTGTCGGGTGGACTAAGACAGCTGGGGGAGTGGGGGGGGAGATTTAAGAAACGTGCGCGATTATTTAATCTGCCGCGCCGGGAGAAATAATAAAATTCCGGATGGCCGGTCCAGTGTTGCTAATCGGCACAGCGTCAATGCAGCAGCAGCGGCGGCAACAGACATCACCAGAGCTGCCGAACAGAGCACCGCGCGTGCTTACAGCTGGAGGGCGAACAAATTAATCGTAAGGCCAACAGCGTTGGGTCTCCCCTCGCAAGCCCCCTCCCTGGCGCGGTGACTAAAGTTTCATGGCGTGTTGGTTGGATGGGGGGGGGGGGGCGGTGGTGGTGGGGCCCACACACCGCCGGCTCTCCTCGCAGACAGAGCCAGGCTTGGAGTCGGCTGCACTTGCCGCCGGAATACAAATGAGCCCGCGAGCACGCGGTCGATGTGGCGGAGACACGCGCCATAAATCCACACCGCGCCACCGCCAGGCGGACACAGCCAGCCGGAGACCGTCAGCCAGACACGGCCAGCCAGCCACTAAGCCACCCGCCCAGACACCTCCAGCCAGACACAGTCAGCCAGACACCACCAGCCAGACACAGTCAGCCAGACACCTCCAGCCAGACACAGCCAGCGAGACACAGTCAGACAGACACCGCCAGACACAGTCAGCCAGATACCACCAGACACCACCAGCCAGACACAGCCAGCCAGCCACTAAGCCACCCGCCCAGACACCTCCAGCCAGACACAGTCAGCCAGACACCTCCAGCCAGACACAGCCAGCCAGACACCTCCAGCCAGACACAGCCAGCGAGACACAGTCAGACAGACACCTCCAGCCAGACACAGCCAGCGAGACACAGTCAGACAGACACCTCCAGCCAGACACAGCCAGCGAGACACAGTCAGACAGACACCGCCAGACACAGTCAGCCAGATACCACCAGACACCACCAGCCAGACACAGCCAGCCAGCCACTAAGCCACCCGCCCAGACACCTCCAACCAGACACAGTCAGCCAGACACCTCCAGCCAGACACAGCCAGCCAGACACCTCCAGCCAGACACAGCCAGCGAGACACAGTCAGACAGACACCTCCAGCCAGACACAGCCAGCGAGACACAGTCAGACAGACACCTCCAGCCAGACACAGCCAGCGAGACACAGTCAGACAGACACCCCCAGCCAGACAGTCAGACAGACACCGCCAGACACAGTCAGCCAGATACCACCAGACACCACCAGCCAGACACGGCCAGCCAGACACCCCCAGCCAGACACAGCCAGTCAGACACAGCCAGACAGACACAGCCAGACAGACACAGCCAGACAGACACAGTCAGACAGACACCTCCAGCCAGACAGTCAGACAGACACCGCCAGACACCCCCAGCCAGACACAGTCAGCCAGATACCCCCAGCCAGACACAGCCAGCCAGACACAGCCAGACAGACACAGATATCCAACCACCGCCAGGCGTCTGCAACATGAAGGAGCGGGCATGGTGCCCGCCGTCGTGATACAAAGTCACTCGTTTGCTTGCCGGGGGAAAAACCGATTTGCGCATAAATTACGTTTCCCCATCACATCACGTGAGATGTGTCCAAAATTAGAGATTCGTTCACTCACGCGGCGAGAATTCACGGAAGGTCGTTTGGGCAAATTTACATCCACGCTCTCACAGCCGTGCTCGATCCACTGCTGGATGAGGGCCTCCCCAAGTCGTATGTTGTGGATGTAACAGACAAATGTGCTCATTTGCTTCGACGAAATATCTCAACAAGTAAACCCGTAAAAACAAAGTTTTTCACTATAAATCCTTTATATGCGTGGCGGCGAACTTAATATAAAGGATTTAAAAATATATTCGCCTGTGGAGGACGCGGGGATCGATCCCACGACCTTTGGCATGGGAAGCGAGGGCGCTACCAACTGCGCTACTCCGCCACGGCCTGTGGAGGGGTTACGCTCTGGGCTCTTACACTCTGACGTTCAGCCAAAGCCATGAATGCGTTCTATTTGAATATATGTAAAATATTTTTTTTTTGCCTAAAAAGTGTAAAATTTTGGGAATTTTTTTTCACGAACAATAATTGTCTGGCACAACGAGTCTGTGTGGAAAATGTCAGCTCGATTGGATCACGAGAAGTGGGTTAAAAAACGACCGAAAGATTTGCACGGTCCTAAGCAAGCACGCGAACTTAATATAAAGGATTTAAAAATGGTCGATATCTCTATGACACACGCCAGCTGTCTAAACACTTTTTGGGGGGGGGGCAGCGGGGGGTGGGGGGCTACTGCCCCCTGTGCCCCGTGTGTGTTTGAGAGTGAGCAGAGAGCGGTGGTGGAGCGGTTAGCGCGCTGCGCAGCGCTACGAACCCGGCGACCCGAGATCGATTCCCGCTCGCGGCCAACGCCAGCGACGATTATCTCTAAACCGGTCCTGGGTCCTCCCCTAGGTCGACTCAGCCTCAAATGAGTACCTGGTTTTCCGCGTGTAAAATCATCGCCACTGGGGGAGACAAAGGCGGCCGAGCGTGGTGACGGCCACCCGCCCCCTCGTGTGCCACAGTGCCGGCCTTCCTAGGTGCTACTCGTCAACAGCACTTGCCCCAACACTCTGTTGAGGCTACACGCGGTGAAGGGTAGCGGAGGGGACCTTTATCTTTGAGTGGGTAGGGCGAGCGTAGGCGGGGGTGATTTAACATCTGTCGATTAGGGGGAGAGGGAGAGAGAGAGGGAGGTAAGAGTTCAAGATGAACCGCGGGCAGCGAGGAACGTGCAGTCCCGTTTCGAGGTCATGCCCCCCTCCTCCAGCTCAAAAGCAAGTGCTGGAATGAGCAGCATGAGGAGCACGCGCGGTGGAAATCCATCGGTCCGATGCTGCGGATCGCTCGTCCGGACGGGGTGCGTGGTGGAGTGACCACGGACGGGGAGCGGTGGCGCAGCGATTAGCGCGCTACGCCGCGCTACGAACCCCCGTCGGCCCGAGTTCGATTCCCGCTGGCGGCCAAAACAATTCTAGATTTGAAGCTTTCGTGACTGCAAGGATTCATATTCTTAGGTTTTTTTCGGTAAAGTCACGTAGGTGAAATTCCAAGAAAAAGTATTTGTATATATACTGGTATATATACACTTGATACAGCTATCGTGCTGTGACGGTTCCACCTGAAGACGGAAGCTTGTGTTGCCTCCGAAACGTCGTGATTTTAATTTTAATTTTATTTTACTTTTATTAATTTAAATTTTTTACCTACGTGACTTTACCGAAAAAACCAAAGGCCAAAACAATGTTCACGAACCGGTCCTGGGCCTCCCCTAGGTCGACTCGGCCTCAAGTGAGTACCTGGTGGTGTGTAAAAACATCGCCACGGGGGGAGACAAAGGTGGTCGGGCGTGGTTATTGGCCACCCACCACCTCGTGTGCCGTGGCGGCCTAAATAGGTGCTCGCTAACAGCACTTGCGCCAACAGTCTGGTCAGGCTACACGGGGGATCTTTGTCTTTGTGTGCATGGACCACCGATGAGTGACGCGTGGTTCAGAGATCATGTTCGTTGCGGGTAAGAACATGGGGCCACGACTAAATCGTTGTACGGTAAGTCCCCGGGTTGCGGAAAAGCTCGACTTACGGAAACGCTCCCGTAAATCGTGCTTTTAAAAACACATTTAAATATAAACGTAGAAACGTGCAGACCCGACCTCGTGATTGGAACGATGTTGAGAGGCAGAGGAGAGGGGCGCGAGAAGGCACGCGAGGGTTAACGACATCGTCAGAACTGTTGGGCGAGGTGAGCGGTGCTTGGGCGCAGTAGGGGAGGCGGGGGCGATGTCCGACAAGTGAAGAAGACAAACAACAACAACAACGACGGAGTGTCCAGTCGAGGAGTGGAACGCGTCCGATGGGACGTGAAAACCCGCGGAAACGGAGCAATGGAATCTTCGCCCCGCTCCGCCGGCGGCTGGCTGGATCATTGCGTCGTAGGATCGTGAGCGGCGCTGGCAGGGCCTTGATCCAGCAGTAGAAGGAGCAAGGCTGCTGACGCTGGTGAAGGCATTCTATTGTTGCTACTTGACGTCGAAGGTATGATGATGAATGTATACAATGACTTTCACCCAGCAGTGGATGGAGCAAGGCTGCAGCTGCTGCTGATGATGACAATGAAGGTATTCTATTGTTGCTACTGACGTTGACAGTTTCCAATCACCTTCATCCAGCAGTGGATGGAGCAAGGCTGCAGCTGCTGCTGACGTCACAAACAACACAAATGCTCCTCGACGAAGCAGTCGAAGAACGTCAGAACGGCCCCCACCACTGCCCGCCCTGCTCGACGTTCGAGGCGATGGCTCTGCCGCAAGCCGACGGGAGATTTTAAACCACCCCGGGGGGGCTGGGCGGGCGAGCGGACACGGGGGGGGGGGGTCACAATTTACACTCCGCCGCCTCGCTCCCCTCCCCACACGGGTTACAGCTCCCGATCGAAAGCTTCCTCTCTCTCCGGTTTTTTTTACAGTTCCGCCGTAAAATATAAATATATTCCCTGCTCGCCCACCACCCACACACACCTACCCCCCCCCCCCACACAAGCCCACCCCCCACTACAACCCCCCCCCCCCAACGTGCCTCCCCCCCCCCACACTCACACAATCCGTACGCGCGCGTGGGGATCTGCCGAAAATATCCGTGGGTGAGTCACGCGTCTCCGCGCCTTTTTACGACAAAATTCGCCATATGCGCGGTGGCCAATTGCGCCAATAAACCGGTGGTGGGGGAGTGGTGGGGGGGGGGGGCCCTCCGGCTCATCCGTCAAGCAGCCCCCCCTCCCGCCCACTCCGTTCGCTCGATTTGTGCAAATGTGAAGCTGCGGTGAAACTCTGAATGTGGTTGCTCGCGGTGGTCAGCGAGCAGGCCGGCTCAACGCGACCAACGCGGCCAGCCGAGGAGCCCCGCGTGGGCCGAGGCGTTTGCGGGGAAGGTTTCAGAAACTTGTTCGGTTGTTTCGACTGCCGCGCCAGGAGATCGAATCGACCTCCGGTTGGCAGGTCGAGCGTGCTCATCGGCACGCCACTGCGGCGAAAATCCCCGCTCTTCAATCAGCTAATCGGAATAACGTTTAAAACATGATGATCATTTTCTCGCGATGTGTATTTATTTACGTAATTCATCTTTTCGTTTTTTTAATTAGCTAAGGTAAGGGTAAACACCTACTACTATATTTTGCCACTGGTAAACGAGGTCTCATAGTGTAAATGCTTACCCCGAGCTCTCAATACTCTGATAGTGCGCTGTTTTTGAGTTGTACGCCTTTTGGCGTCATCTGGTCCAACACCAATGGAGACTAGGCTCTAAGAAAAGCTGTCTTGGGTGTGGACCAATCAACTTCAAGGACAGTGCATATCATTATCGTTATCAGAGTTGTTTCTTTTTGTTTGCATTTGACTGCTTGTGTTGTGGTTATTGCAAACATGATGCCTTGTATAAAGGTGTCAGTTTTGTACCAGTTTAAAGTGTAAAAACCTACTACTATAGTGGGGGGGGGGGGTGGGGTTGCGGTGTTTGTGTTTGCGCCCTCTGTGTAAGGGGCCGGCTTAATGGATGCGGCACCGTTGTGGGATGCCATCGCACGAACGGCGCTCTCTGCAACAACGCCACCATCGACTGTTCAATCAATTCTCGCGAACGACGCCGAGAAGCCGGTGGGAGTGACCGCGCACGACGAGGCGATGTGAGCGTGGCGCTGTCTCTCGCCTGCACACTCTGCAGCACGTCCTTGAGGCCCTGGACGAAGGCGTGGGCTTGCGTGGCCCTGTCCGCCAAGCCGGCCAGCGCGAGCGATAGCTGACTCTGCAAGACAAAGCGGGAGGAGGATGACGAGGATAATGATCTTAATTTTGGAGCTGTCGTGACTGCAGGAATTATTCTTTGGTTTTTTCGGTAAAGTCACGTATAAAGATAACATAATAAATTAAATAATAGCATACGACGTTTCGATTGCAACACAAGCAATCATCATCAGGTATAGTGAAATAGCGACATACAATCTAACCAGAAAACTATAGACAGACATATAAGCAGACAGATATCACCAAGATACATAGATCGAGCAACACAGGTACAGAGAGGGGTGATCGTCTCTGTGGGGTGGCCTTAAATGATGGCGGTTACGACAGTAATGATTGAATGACATACTGTTAGTTCTTTCGGTAAAGTCACCATGTAGGTAAAAAATTTGAAATAAAAATTAATAAAAATAAAACAATAAAATCACGACGTTTCGGAGGCAACACAAGTCACTTGATGCAGCAAATCTGGCTGTGACGGTCCCACCTGATGACGGAGACTTGTGTTGCCTCCGAAACGTCGTGATTTTATTGTTTATTTTTTTATTAATTTTAATTTCATTTTTTACCTACATGGTGACTTTACCGAAAGTAACTAAGAGTATGAATCCTTGCAGTCACGAAAGCTTCAAATCTAGGATTGAACGACAGTCATTTAATAAGAGTCATCATCATCATCAATCCACTGCTGGATGAACGCCTCCTCCACAAGGTCTCGCCGTCGCGATCCTAAGGTCCCAAGAAAATGTTTTTTGTGACTGCACAAAAACCTCGCCCTGGAGCCAATAGCACCTTGCGTATGAGCGAGCGGTTGCCGATCGCAAGCAGCAACCAGGCTCGCACCTGCTTAGCTTTCGAGATCCGCAATAAAGGGCGTGGGGGAGTTGGGGGGTGTCATCGCACGGGCGTTACTCAGTCATTCGAAATAGAAAATACCATTTCTGTTCATTGTTTAATGTTCCGTCTCTCCAGTTGTATTTGCGTCGCCGCAGTCGAGGCGGCAGAGATTGTTCGTTTGACAGCTCTCGTTCAATCCTCATTGGACGGAGGAGCGACGTCCAATGAGGAATGTCCCGCGCACAAGACGAGTCCAGCATCTCCTCCGATCGCTGTCCCCGATCCACCCTCCTGACGGCAGGTCAACGCTGTGCGGACGGCAGTGGCTCCACTGTTTGCTCAACTCAACTTTTTTTGTTTTTATTTTAACAGGTGAGGCGACCCGGTTGTCACACACAGCAGCCAAATACTCGACACGCACGACGGCTCTGGATGTGTAGGGGACAAACCGGAGGACCCGGAGAAAAATCCGGGCAGAGAGAGAGAGACGCAAACTCCAAATATACAGCAGCAGCAGGCGTCAGGGTTGGGATCGAACCCACGACCTCCTGTATACCAGGCGAGGTAGTTAACATCTCCTAGCCACCGTGATGATGATGAGAGAGAGACACGCAAACTCCAAATATACAGTAGCAGGCGTCAGGGTCGGGATCGAACCCACGACCTCCTGTATACCAGGCGAGGCAGTTAACATTTCCTAGCCACCGTGATGATGATGAGAGAGACGCAGACTCCAAATATAGAGAAGGCGTCAGGGTCGGGATCGAACCCACGACCTCCTGTATACCAGGCGAGGTAGTTAACATCTCCTAGCCACCGTGATGATGATGAGAGAGAGACACGCAAACTCCAAATATACAGCAGCAGGTGTCAGGGTCTGGATCGAACCCACGACCTCCTGCATACCAGGTGAGGTAGTTAACATCTCCTAGCCACCGTGATGATGATGAGAGAGACGCAGACTCCAAATATAGAGAAGGCGTCAGGGTCGGGATCGAACCCACGACCTCCTGTATACCAGGCGAGGTAGTTAACATCTCCTAGCCACCATACCCGTCCTTACGACGTCTCGATGATGGGCGCACGGAAGTTGCTCCACTCTGTGCCACTGCGAAATGATTACAGCGATGTGCAAAAGCGCATCATCGCACACCCAAATGTGTAAACGATTGATTAGCTGTTGGTGGGAGGTGAGGGTTTGAAGGGAGGGTGGGGGGTGGATTTCAGAAACTCGCCCCGTCGTTCAGTTGTGTCCACCACCGCGCCCTCTGGATTGCAAGTCCAGAGCGGTAACCGCTACACCGCGGCACTTGCAGCAGTAGCAGCAGCAGTAACAGCGGTGGCATCCGGCCCGTTCGGTCCGCACTCGTCCTCGCAGCAGCAGCAACAGCTTCTGGCTAAGCCATCGAGCAAAGACAGGCGGTCACCGCATCGCGTGCGCCGCTTTCAGACGCGCTCCTGCTGTGGCCGTCTGGAACGCTCTTCCTTCTGATATTAGGAATCCACTGGAGCTTTATGCACTGTTTAAATCATCCAGATTGATGAACTCATTTCTTTAGAACTGCTTTTTGCGTTTAGTTTGTTGTCCTTCCCCCGCACCTCCCATCAGCGAGGTTGGCTACGTGCGATGGCGAAATAAGTTCAACGCACACACGCACACACACATGCACACACGCACACACACGTGCACACACACGCACACACACGCACACACACTCGCACACACGCACACGTACACACACGCGCACACACACGCACAGATGCGCGCATTCCTTAAACTCGCCATTCAAATCGGCACCGAATAATAACGCAGTCTTACATCATCGGCGAGAAATCTCAGCGAAGGAGCCCGCCACACCACCACCACCAACAAGGGGGCTGCCACAACACCACTAACAAGGAGGCTGCCACACCACCACCACCACCAAGGAGGCTATCCCACCACCACTAACAAGGAGGCTGCCACACCACCACCACCACCACCAAGGAGGCTGCCACACCACAACCACCGCCAAGGAGGCTACCCCACCACCACCAAGAGGGCTGCCACACCACCACCAAGGAGGCTACCCCACCACCACCAAGGATACAGCCACACCACCACCACCACCACCAAGGAGGCCGCCACACCAACACCACCACCACCAATCACGGCGGCTCTGCACTGAGTGGCAGTGGCTGGAGGGGGAGGGGGCAGTGAGCGACCCCCAGACAAAGGCGGTAGCTGCCCAGACGACCGCTTTCGGCGCTTCGACCTCTCTCGCCTCCACCCCGCCCCACCAAACGATGACCCAGTGCACATCGCACAATGGACATCCGCGGCAGGCAGCAGCAACGTGAATTCTCCGAAGCGCTCATTTAGGGAATGCATTCCTGGGCGAGAGAAAACCGTTGGGTGGACGGCCGTGCGAACGGTCCCTCTGCTATTGTCCAAGGCGCATTCAGCGTCGTCCCCCCACCCCACACACCCTGGGGGCCCATCCCTGGAGTTTCTCTCCACCCACTCCGCACGAGACGAGGTCCGATCGAGAGAATGTCGGAACCTCCGAAGCCGGCCAGCGTGCGCGTGTCGGCGCGCCCTACGCGGTCACTCCGAGTTCGATTCCCGCTCACGGCCATCGCCGCCAACGCGAGCGACAGCGATCGGCTGAAACCGGTCCTAGGCCTTAACCAGGTCGACTCAGCCTCAAATGAGTAGCTGGTGGCAAATGTGTAAACGTTGCTGCTGGGGAGACAAAGGCGGCCGCGCGTGGTGCTTGGCCACCCAGCCCCTCAAGTGTCACAGTAACAGACCGAGTGTCGCGTTTCTCATGCTTACTTCCAAACGTAATTCTCAACAAAACAAGGAAAATGGCTTCCTAGGGGACACGGGCCAGAACGTCGTCGCGTGCACAGTGCACAACTGCTGGGATCAACTTCTGTGCGAGGTGAACGCTGCTGGGTTCTGCCAGTACAGGGACCACTCTACTTACGAAGATTCGACTTACGAACAAACCTGTCTGTATGTCCAGTGGCCTGTTCGGACCGAGAGTCGTACGTTGAACCGCTGTGCAATGGATGATGCTCGTGGGATCTACATCTGCAGAACATGAAGAACCAGTGATATCTACATCTGCAGAACATGAAGAACCAGTGGCATCTACATCTGCAGAATATGAAGAACCAGTGGCATCTACATCTGCAGAACATAAAAAAAAATCAGTGGTTCTTAACCTTCAGTGCACGAACCCCCTGGGGGATGCGAGATGCCCTTTCTGGGGGTGTGAGACGTGCCAGATTTTTTTAGGAGGTAAATCACGGGTACGTAATTACATGATACATTTGTTTACGATTGAGAACCAAAGGGGTGCAAGGCTGCAGTAAAGGTTAAGAATCACTGCTCAAAACGCACGTTTCTAAATGTGGTGGGAAAAACCAGAGGACTCGGAGAAAAATCCACGCGACCATCACGCAAACTCCAAATATACAGCAGCAGGCGTCAGGATCGGGATCGAACCCACGACCTCTTGTATACCAGGCGAGGCAGCTAACATCTCCTAGCCACCATGATGATGATGAGAGAGAGAGAGACACACAAACTCCAAATATACAGCAGGCGTCAGGGTCAAGATCGAACCCACGGCCTCCTGTATACCATGCGAGGCAGCTAACATCTCCTAGCCACCGTGATGATAATGATGAGAGAGAGAGAGACACGCAAACTCCAAATATACAGCAGGCGTCAGGATCAGAATCGAACCCACGACCTCCTGTATACCAGGCGAGGTAGTTAACATCTCCCAGCCACCATGGCGTGATCTCGCCACTGCGGCTCAGAGTCGGGCCTCATTAAATAAATGCCGCTATGGGTTGGTCACCAAGCCGTTATCGGCGAGAGCATCCCTCGCGTAAAATCTGGGACATGCCCGTTAGCCACCAATTAAAAAAACAACAACAACAACCCAGCAACAGCGCGTAACACCACAGCACACGCGTGCCCGAGTTTAGCTCCAGCCCCGCGGCAAGGTCACGCGCAGCTTGCGGCTGGCTGGGAGTAAATCGTCACCGACACCACCCGGTCCCGGGACCGGATTCATCGAGCGAATGGATTTCCCGTTGGTGGAACTGGGTCAGCCGGGACGGGGGCCAGCCAGCCAGGCAGGCGGGGAGGTGCCGTGTCAGGCATTC